ATTATCTTGCTTCAAGGAAAACACAAACTGTAAGCAAGGTTTGTTCTTGGTGTGCCACTCCTGGGTTGTTTGCGGGGAGACAAACCACAAGCTTGGGTTCACATGTTGTGCTAAGCCAAACTATGGCTTAGTTCCTGGTACCACTGCAGCAGCAGAAGTGAAGGAGAGTGAAGTGGCTGGATTTTCATATTGTGCACCAGGACACTTGCTCATTCATGCCAAGGCCAAGTTTGGCTTAGTGCTAAGTGTGACTGGGGCCCGTGTACTTCTGAAGCCAAGCAATCCTTACTAGAAGAAGATGTCAGAAGAAAGTGAACATATACAAATTTAAGAAAAAGGGAGGGGCATAACTACATATATTTACCACTTTGTGTGCCACATACTAATTTTAAATAAAAATTATTTGATATTTTTTTGTCTATTAAAAACAAAAGTGTATTCACAGCTACAAATCTCCTCTGCCAAGCTTTTGGTTTTACTGCTATTAGTTCTCAGTGATTATTAATTACCGTATTTTTCGCTCTATAACACGCACCTGACCATAACACGCACATCGTTTTTAGAGGAGGAAAACAAGGGAAAAAACATTCTGAATGAAACAGTGGATGTATCATTTTTGTGCTTCATGCTGTGGCCACAGACATGTGATCTGATGGTGAATTTGGGGTGACCCAATGCAAAAATCCTGATAATTCCTGTGGATCCATGCTTTGTAACCACGTTTTTGCACCATTGCAGCCCCAGGCAACAGTGGGTGCGTGATTTTTTGGGTGCAGGCTGTAGCCATGGACATGCTATGTGATCTGATGGTGAATTTGGGGTGACCCAATGCAAAGATCCTGAGAATCCCTGTGGATCCATGCTTTGTAACCACGTTTTTGCACCATTGCAGCCCCAGGCAACAGTGGGTGCGTGATTTTTTTGGTGCAGGCTGTAGCCATGGACATGCTATGTGATCTGATGGTGAATTTGGGGTGACCCAATGCAAAGATCCTGAGGATCCATGTTGATCTATGCTTTGTAACCACATTTTAAGTGGGGAGCGAAGGAAAAACAAAGAAGGGACATGAGAGGGGTGTGCAGAGAAGCAGCTGGCTAAGAATGCTGGAGAGGGATTTAACGGGTGGGAGGCAAAAGTTCCCCCCCAAGCCAGCCATCTCTCTCTCTCTCTCTCTCCCTCTCCCTCCCCCCCTCTCCCTCTCCCTCCCCCACTCTCTCTCCCTCTCCCCCAGCAGTACCGGAGCACAGAGACGACACTTTCCCCTCTGCTTGCCTGGAGGGGAGGGGCTTTCCCTGCTCTTTGTTCCGTTTCAGCAATCACAGCAACGAAACAGAGGAGGGTGGGCAGTAAGACCCTGAGGCAGAATACAGGAAAGCTGCCACTTCCTCTTTTCAGGTTTCCCTTCTCCGTGAAGAGCGATTTGACTTTTGCTTGATTTTTGGCTCCAGGGACCACACATTCGCTCCATAACACGCACAGACATTTCCCCTTCCTTTTTAGGAGAAAAAATCTGCGTGTTATAGAGGGAAAAATACGGTATGTTGTATCCCTCTGAACCAATGTCAGTGCTGTTGATGTCTCTCGAAAAACATGGTATTGCCCAAATGCATGGGTGGTATTAAAACGGCACTCTTTCCTACAATGAAACAGGAAATGGTGCTGTTCAAGGGTCTCCCCGAGGACATTTATTCCTAACAATTTGGTGCTAAAAAGCACAGGTCAACTGGACTGTTTCATTTTTTTCTACACTTTCATTTTCAATTTTAGGCATCCAACTGCTCAACTTTGTAAACAAAACAAGTGCAAATTTAAAGAAGAAAACCATCTTCACAGATTTAGAACTACTATAATGATGATGGTGATGATGATGATGATAAAGTCAAATTTGTCCTTTGCCTGAACTTCTGCTATTTATATGGGCTCGTGTTACTCAGATGCAAGACTGGATGGAGAGGGACATGGCAAAGGGTGAAATACTGACTGCTTTCCTATCCTTGCCAGCCAGCAATGCTGCATAAACAATCACAAACGGTTGAATAACATAGAGAATAGTTTTTCCAGCATGATGCACTCTTGTGATTTGCAAAAAGCACGCTACTATAAAAAGTACTCTTTTGAGAATGGAGGCCTGTTAGTTTTGACTGTTTCCAATAAACCAAAGGCATTATGGTGATCTCTAAATATTTTTGGTCTCTACAAATTGTCATTTATTATGGCAGCACTTTTCTAAGCTGGAATTTCAAAACCAAAGGCACTTGCATGCGAGAGTGCAGAGAGTCACAAAGGTTTAAGTATTTGGTCATGAGAATTTAAGAAGGCAGCATTATTATTCATACAATTCACTTTTTGCAGAAAATTCTAGCGCTGTTAAAAGGTTTCATTTTGGTATCGATATTCCAACTATGTAGTGACGGGGTGACTTATATAGGACGGTGTTTTAGGGCCAAGTAGCCAAAAGGCTTCTCTTCGGGAGATATTTTTTTCCTTTTTCCTTTATTTAAGTAAACCAATTAATTTACTACATAAGATTGGCATGATAAGCTAAAAGGTACTTCTACTATAGCACTAAGGCACTGCATATTGTAATGCTTTGGCAGCTCGGAATTAAGAAGTTCCTACGACAAAGTAACAGTTAACAAGGGAGATGCTTCCAGCTTACAAAAGAGCTCACAGTTTACAGGCAGCCTTTTGGACTACACAACCCACATAAACATCTGACAGACTTAAGGCTTTCCAGAAGAAACATGCAAAGGGGTTTACACCCAACGTAAAGGTAAAGGCAAGGCAAACAGCTCCCGGGAAGGTTTTACAAAAGTGGAGATGCAAGAAACATTGTGACTCTTCAAACAGCAGAGTTATTACATACATCGTGTCCCAGACTGCATTAACGCAAAAGAGAGAAGTGTACCTGGTTTGCAAACTGACTGCTCTTCCACACACCTCAAGGGGTTGCTTTGAGATGCATGTTTATTCTAAAAATGTCCAACTTCTTTTAAAAAAACAAATCCATCAAAACCAAAAGCCTCGTAAAAGGTAACATATTTTTTTAAAAAAGTAGTTTTAGACTTGTAACACCAAGTGCTTCAAAATAAAGGGCTACTTTAGATGAGTAAGATGCAGTGCTAATTCTCCGTTAGTGTTAAAAACTGATGAAGAGTTACAGCCATATAGCATCTGATTTTACAGTTCACAGAGTTAAAATGACTGAGAGGTTCATCTGCTTTAATGTCTGTAGGACAAAAGGCGTGCAGCTTGCAGAGCCTAGAGGCTATACAGTACTGGACTGACTGCAGCATGCCATGAGAAGGGCTGAATAGGAGTCATGAATGGAAGACTGCATGCAACGTGTTACAGTTTTGCAGTGTTCCAGAAGTTGAGTAGCTCCTCTGACAATTGAATAGGGCAAATCTCCAAGCTATTTATACCTTGAGCATTTCCTGCCCCCATGTTGGATTCTAACAGGATGAAAGGTTTTATGCAGGCATAAAGAAGTTTGCTTTCTGAAGTAACAATTATTCTAAGCAGCACACTGAATATGTTTCTTAAGTATGCACGAAGCTGCATTTCAAAGTGCAACAGCTACTGACCTAGTGCCTTAATGTAAAGAAAGACGTTCTCCATAGTTCATTTCATCATCCTGTGGGCTATACAGCTTCTCATAAGTGGCTGTAGGCCAGGGGTAGGCAACCTAAGGCCCAGAGGCCGGATGCGGCCCAATCGCCTTCTCAATCCGGCCCATGGGCCGTCCTGGAATCAGTGTGTTTTTACATGAGTAGAATGTGTCCTTTTATTTAAAATGCATCTCTGGGTTATTTGTGGGGCATAGGAATTCGTTCATCCCCCCCCAAAAAAAAAACTGTAGCAAAGTTGTTGTGTTCCTAGCTCATCAAACTATACAAACCCCACGTAGTGATAGATTTCTGGGTGATTTGCAGTTTCTCACTACCTAACACAACTCTCTTCTATCTAAATTCGGCTGCTGAAATGAAGGCAGCTAACTAAAAGTAGACTTTTGTGTGAAAGAACTGTATGTTCAGTTTAGTTCTACAACTGAAGCCAAATCTCCAAACTCAAAATGTGCTCAGATGCACCCTGTTCCTTCAGTCTAACTATGATATATTGATTTACTTTTTACTAGGCTCTGACTGATAGATTTTGGGGTTGTGATAAAAAAGTAGACCCAACAAGTCTGATGTTTGCCCGCCCTGTATTATAGGTTTTACATTTACTAATAACATAAACCAGTTCCAAGACACTTTTTCAGCCTTTCATCACGTCGGGCAATAATATATATTTACAAAAGCTGCCTCTGAAGGGGAATCAAACCTCGTGTGGTGATAATAGATTTATACGTCTTTGAAAAAAGCTCTTCCTCACTTGTTCTTAGGAGCACCAAATGTTTCTACAGTGATGGAGGGGATGTGGGATGCACCATGTCTAGGAAGTCTGAAAATGGATTGTAGGAATTGATAATACGATCCAGTGTAAATTCTTACGCTTCATGGTTTGAGGCCATTAACTATCAGAGTTTTCACCTTATTGAGTGAACAAATCCTGTTAAGATGGGCCTACACAACTTGTGATCTGCAAGCCACATACATTGTCAGGCCTTTTTTGGGTGACAGTACTCACTGGTATGAAGTGCATGGGTATGGAATCACCTCTTGTTGTTGTTGCTCATGGGAACCATTTTGTACACGCTCCCATTCCATGTTTATATGAGGATTGTCACCTCTCTTCTAACCCCCCAAAGTACTGCACTTTGTGGTCTGTCAAGTGGCTTGACAACCCTCCTGTTTTTGCATTTTCAGGCAAGCTGAAAGAGAAGGAGATTTCAATGGGGCTCATAAAGTAATAATTGTGTCTTTTTTGTTTGGCGAAGCCTGTGATTTTCTAGCATTTTAAAGACATTAAAAACAGATGAACCTTTTGATTGTATATCTATTATCATCTCAACCACAGTGCTTTTTGTGGTTTTCAGCTGACAGTTTAATTGTAATTCAACAGTCACTTTAATTCCACCCTCCCTTTACATTTGCTTATCACTAATTTTGGTGTTGCAATTTATAGACTCATTAGGAAAACAAAAACAAAAACAAATTGTTCATATAATATATAACCACACACAAAAGATTACGTACACCATAAGTCTAATTTTTCAGTATTTACCTAGTTATTGCAAAACGAGTCATCTTTTAAATAAACAAATGTCCTTATTAGTACAATACTTTATACCTTTTTAATGCACTAGATATAATTAGTAAAAGGGAGGAAGTCTTCTCGCTTTGCAATACCTGCTTGAAAAGTTAAATGGGTTAGAAGGTTAGTTTTAATACAGAGGGAAGAATAATAATATTTTTTGCCTACTTTTAGGACCTGTCTGCTCCCATCAGGCATTTTTAAGGCTATGTTTGTCATTTGGCTTCAAACAGAAATTGAGTTGCAGTTATAAAATAATTTAGTGAATTACATTCGTTTGTATCGTCCACAGTAATCAGTTATGAAGATAATTCTAAGAAGAATTTGTGTGCTAATTTATGCTTATAGTTAAAATTCATTTCAATTTCACTAGCATCTTAAAAACAGGGTTTTTAAAAATTAATTTAGACAAAACACCTCATAAACTCTTATAATTGCTGTTAAGTTTTCCCATGGCAAACGCTCTGTCTTATATTTTTCTAACACAACAACAACAAAAAATTAAAACTTCCACAAAGGCCTTGAAATTCTTAAATATAGTCTTCCCAAGGAACGGTGGTTTTTTTAATATATAAATTTGAAGAACACTTTGTTTTAGAAAGAATTTGTACAACTGTACCAGAATTTCACAGCTACAATATATATTGACACACTAAAATGAGGTTTAGAAAAATGTAGGGGAAAGCTCAGCCAGAGGAACTGCCACTTAGTGTTGAGGTTGACAGTCTGTGTTTTGATAAGGAGTTAAACAAAACATGTCTATAAATAACTGTTCAGTCCTTTACAAGCCTGTAGATGTGATGCTGTGCACCATGTTCGCTGTTTGAAACTTCAAATACACAAGCCATGCAAAGTAGGGTTTCTTGCGTGTCCCTGTTCGTTACAACCTGTTTGTGTTTTTATACATATGAAGAAAAGGAAAAAAAGACAAAACATTAGAAACTGGGTCATTTGCTAACACAGGAACAAAAGCAAAATATGTAATTGTAATCACTGGAGACACACACACACACACACACAATTTCACTCTCATATCTGAAGAGACATACACCTCTCATCTGTCAAGGTTTCTTGGTTAATGCCTCTCTAATGCTGACTTTTGACTCAATGCATATAGACATTAAAGAGTACTCTGTGGGTATGAGAGATAGACATTATTATTATTATTATTATTATTATTATTATTATTATTATTAAACCATATTTTACTAGAGTGCATAATCCTATCTCCCTTATCTCCAGCACTATGTAGTCTACAACATATTGAGTAGGACTTCTAATGGAAACCATCTCAACTGGATTCTGACCTAGGTTCTGCAGTTCCATATTTCTGACACAGTTTCTGGAAAAGAATCTGGCAGGGCAGGATCTGCTTTTTGGGAAGCTTCCAGAGGCATATTTTGGAATACTTCCCGGGAAAACCAAGCTGCTAAGATTTTAAAGGAACAGTTTGCAGGAATCTCCTTTCTCCTCTTAGAGAATGTGCAAAACTGCACAGCAGTACATTGATAAGAGCAGAACCGATCTAGAAGCAAAAAGCCACCATGAGCCAAAATGTTCTGTTCCACTTATCCCTGAATTTAAGGCCAAGCAAGAAAAAGAACACAAGGCTACGATGGAGCTTTGCCGTTGTTCAATCGGAGCTGCGTAACCCAATCTTTAAGGGCTTGGAAGAAGGGTACTGGGTAGGAAATCAGAAGCTAGGAGAGAGGAGGGAGGATGAAAAGAAGGAAATATAAAGGTGAGAGGGGTGGGACAAACAATAAAGAGGGATCCTATGCAGGTCAGTTTTCCAGAGCCCAAAATGTTCTTAGGGTATTCAAAAGCTACTGTGATAGATCCATTCAAAACAGGTGATTAACATTGAACATAGCTTGAAACGAGTTGTTTCACAAAGTAAACTACCAGGTGTCCCAGAGAAGAACTATTTTCTTGGCGCTCTGAATCAACTAGGAAGTGAATTTACCACGACTTCCATGTCTCCAGTCGCAGTTATGGTGGGACAGCCAATGCGGACACCAGGCCCAAAACACACCCAGGCCAAGGAAAAGATTACTGCCCCCCTGTTACTGCAAACTCTATTGCTAAATGAGCAGTGGGTGAATTCTAGAAGTAGAAATATTATTTACTACAGCTAGATTTCAGCCTCCTTTCCCCACTGGGTTCTAGGTCCAGGGTCAAGGCAAAGAGGCTAATGAGTGGCCAACTAGATAGATGCATCCAGTTCTCTACCACAAAGGTCCAGTTTATAAATTGTCTCTGGTGGATTTGCCACAGAAAAGCCACATCTCCATGGCTGCCTCCTATATTTGATCAGTAACTCATAAAGCTGCCTAGCACAGGGTGTTTGGACCGCTGTGTAGATTTAGTAGCAAGACTGGAGTTTCTGCAAGCCAAGATTAAAGCACAGAACCTACATTTGGCAGTAACATTGTACTTAACTCAAGGGCATGGAATTTCTAATCCTTGCAAAAGGAACCAAATAAAAATCTGCCTGCTCCCAAAGAACTGCAGAAAACCGCCAGAAAAAGTGAAAGAGAGAAACGTTACCAATAAAATTGTAAAGTTTTCCAACACGCTGTTCATCATATATTTTTCTGGTAAATGCTTGAGCTTGTGGATGAAATTGATCATATATTCACACATTGGAGAGCGGTTTATTCTAAACACAAACCGGCCATTCTCAAACCGTGCGTATTCAGTCTAAGGACAAAAGGCAAAAGAGAACAGAACAGAACTGTCAATGAATGAAAAGCTCTTTTTTATTTTTAAATGTGAGCCACTGTGTAAAATAAAGACACCTTAGGATATTAAAATGAAAATTTATTTCAACTAAATTAAACATACCATGTAGCTAAAATATCGGTTTCTCATAAAAGGAACATGAGGAAATAATGTATTGCTTATAAAATAACCTTAAAGGCTGCCTTAATATTGTGGCTCTGATATAAAATAGGGCTTGAAGGAACAATTAAAATTCATGTTACAGGGGCTTTCCTGTTTTCTCTGTTGAGTTGGGAAATGTTTTGAATGTACTATTAATATTCTCTATTCAATGTGTTGAGCATTCTCAGGCTTACAGAATAAATCTCACATGGAACTCTTTTTGGTACTTTGCAACTCCAGGAACTTTTGGTCAGGGCCACCACTTAATTCAAGGTTTGTGTGCATGTGTGCACTGATTCATTATGGATCATTTGTGAGCAGGAACAGAAGAATGGTGGATCTTTCCAACTGAAATGTAACCCCTGCACTAAAATCCCACTTCAGGGAAACATGTGTGCACATGCATGTATGCAAGTATACACATAAACACATGCACAATATACATGTATAAGGGTAAATATAGGGTGCTACTGCACGGCATGCAGGATGCCCTTCAGATTACCAGAGCTACCAGAGAGATTCATGGCTTTGCATGTGCCCTCCTAGAGGAGTCTCTTTCCCCTCTTCCAAATGGATAGGTAAATCAAAACTGGGTTGTAAGGAGTCTATTCTATTCAGCCCATAGTACAAAATTATGTAGAGATCCACATAGGCGCCGACTCCATGGGGCCTGAGGGGGCCCGAGCCCCCTCAAAAATTCGTTTGGGGGGGCTCTGCCCCCCAATAATTTAAGAAAATTATTAGTTCGGCCTCATTACGCCCCCCCCCCGGCGATTCTCTGCCAGCCGCTTCATTCCGCTTCCACGCGCCTCAGATAGAAGGTGACGCGCGCCGCTACCTTCTGTCGCCTCCGTCACTTCCCGGCTTCGTCTCCCTTCGTCCCCACCCACTCTTGGTTCTTCGGCGCTCCTGCTCGGCCGGCAACAGTGGAGACTGCGACCCGCTCCGAACCGGCGCTCTCCAGGCGTGAAAAACCCGCGAGGGGGTCTTCCCATCCGCCGCCCGGAGCTGCGCGCAGCTTCTCTGCTGGAAGCGCGAAGTCGCCGAGGGGATGGAGCACGGGAAAAGCAGCAGGAGGAGACCGGAGGCGCCCAAAATAAAACTGTAACGGCATTCAGCACTCCGCCTCCCCGGTGGGATCCCGCACGGGTGGCCGGGCAAACGACGAGCCGAGGGAGAAAGTCTGCCTTTCAGCCCCGGCTGACTGACAGCGGGTTCAAAGCGCAGTCGCCGCTCCGGCTTTCTCTGCACCGGCCGCGCCCGCCCCCCGCCAGCCTAGTTGGCTCCACCCTCCCCGGTATGGGCCCCCCCAATATGTAGTGACAACATCTGGGTGTCCCCCAAATTGGCTTACTCTGCTGTAAGCTCAGTGATTTAAACCAAGGACAGCTTGGAGAGGGAAAAAACACTTCTAGAGAAAACCTGGCAGCAATCAGGCAAGCAGCAAGTTTGAAAACCATACCTCTACTTTTTCTACCACTTGCTTCCCGAACGAGCAGACTTTGGTGGAACAGGTGATTGTCATGTTTTCTGAGCTCTCATACTGACTAGTTACACCATAGAATGCTCCTGTATCATCTTGGATGTTGCAGTTTAAGTCCGCCTGCAGGAAAAAAACAACAGATGCTTCCTCAACTACTGACATTATTGCAAAAAAAAGGAGAAAGTATTTATTATGAATGTCATTTGAAATAAAAATTGATCTGCTTTAGCAATCCCCATCAAAAGCAGACTTAAGAGCACAAAAGAGCAAATGGCATTGATATTTCCTGCAGCTGCAAAAGAGTTGCCAGCAGATTTTGCACAGCAGCTTTGCAAGATGGGACTGGGATGCAGATAACACACCTGCAGCCCCAGGCAAATTTCAAGGGAGTGCCCTGAAACAATTCTCATTGCCAAGGACAACAGCTGCGCTATTTCTCTTAGGCTTGGGTTCTGCGCTTCCAAATCGTAAAAGCTTTTGACAGCCCATGGACTAACCCAAGGAATTAAAAATATAAAGATACAGCAGTTCCATGGAAAGAATAAGGATTTCTCGGCTTAGACCCTGAAGATCAGACTGGAATTGGATTTGGATAGCTAACCCAGCCACATAGTCAAATAACCGAGGTCCATAAAAATAACCCACCACTACAACCCGAAACGATTAGCGACATATATTCTCCAGCCCCATATTTGGCTGGAAATATGCTCTTCAAGTGAAGGATGAATGGTTCTGTAATGCATGTCTGAATGGTGCCTTTGCATACTGAGACTAAAAAGCAGGTGCAAAAATTATTCTCTGTGCCTAAAATTTGCAGCAGAAGGAGTGGCTCCACCTCCATCATCCAGCCCGGTCACTGAGATCCAGCACTGAGGGCCTTCTGGCCATTTTCTCCCTGTGAGAAGTGAAGCTATAGGGAACCAGGCAGAGGGCCTTCTTAGTAGTAGCGCCCTCCTTGTGGAACACCCTCCCATCAGATGTCAAGGAGATGAGATTTAGAAGACATCTGAAGGCTATATAGGGAACCTTTTAAGGTTTAAGGTTTTATCATGTTTTTATATATGTTGAAAGCCACCCAGAGAGGCTGGGGCAACCCAGTCAGATGGGCGGAGTACAAATAATAAATTGTTATAAATTGTTATTATTACTGTCTGTTGATTACAGTATATAATGCATTCATCTATCAATATACTATAACTTGTTGGCATGGAGCTCTGCAAGTTTTGCATATCAAGACCCTCAACTATTGGACACGATGCATCAAAAAGAACCCCACAACATGCCCCAAAACTGAGCTGGCTGAAGACAAGAAAAACACTCCACATGGGTAAGTGTTCTTGGTCTTCGGGGAAACGAGGAGGCAGCCTGCATGTGTCACAATAGTCTTGCCTAAATAGAGTCTTCAAAACAACAGAAAAGCAGCAAATGCAGAAAGATTACAAAGCCCTTTTCGACCAAAAGAGGGGGTTTCCCAAGGGAGCAGCATAATGAAAACACAAATATTCAGTAGTTAAAATTGAACATGGAGAGGTCACTTGTTAAACAGAACAGAGGCTTCAATTACAGTGGAAACGCCGTGAGGCGTCAGTCATATGAGCGTATTAGACTTCCCCTCCTTTTCAATGAGCAGGGCTCAAAGAGCAGAGATTCCAAATTGTGAAGCAATTCACACACACACACAACTGCATCATTTGGATCTTTGGCACACTTTGCTGCCAGTTGTGTGCTGCAGCTTTGGAAACGCTTCCAGGTCTGCCACATGGCTGGGCTTTTGATGACCAGGCCAAGCTACTCTACTTCCCAGCTGCTCTCTGACTCATTCAGGGGAACCAGCACACTTGCACCAAGTTGCAGGCGGGCAGGCAATGGCTTGTGAAGAGCTTTGCACGAGTGCCATAAAGCTCGCCGTGCAGCAACGGTCCTCTCTGAGGCAACAGAGGGGGCGAAAGCAGCAGGAGTGGTTTCTTCCATCTCAGTTTTGTTTCAAATGTGTCTGAAACGCTGGCTAAAGATGGTCAGTCCACACAGCTGACCTCATCTCTCTCCGGCAACTCGCTTGCCAAGTCTCATTCCGTTATGCAATAAAAATCACATCTAAGAAAGGGGGGGGAGGGACACACATTACAATAGCTTTTTTGTGAATGAAGGAGACAAAGAATCAACATGCCTCTAAAGACGGCAGCAGACACACATGAGGGACGTGGGAGGAGACCATGTGGCTGAGCTCTTTCTGAACACTAACCACACTGAATTCATTATTTGTTAACAGTGCCTGACAAAGGAACAGCATTATATTTTTCAGGTCACAGCTATTTTACATGATAAGAATAGGAACAAACCTAACCATCCAACTCATGTTACTTTGCCACTAATTATGGCATATATTTACATCTATAAAATGAGAGAGATTTTTGGACATGATTTAATGCCCTTTTATTGTGCAGATTCCTTTATTTCCACTCCACATTTGAATTTCAAAAATGCTTTGGACTTCAAAGCATCTTTTTTTTAAAAAGTCCACTAATTACAATACACATTATTTTCTAGAACTGCTTGTTTGCATTGCAGATTTCTAAAATGATAGGTATTCATTAAAATGCACTTATTAATATCACCCACACTTCTTAGAATGAGAGTTTTGCTCTCCATTTTGCAACGGTGTTCAGACGCACAAATAGGTTTTCATTATAAAGCAATATTGCAATCGTCTAATATTGCAACAGCACAATTCTAAACATGTTTAGTCAGAAAACAAGGCTCATTGTCTTCACTGGGACTTACTTGCGGGTTGACATGCAAATGCGTTTATAAAAGTAATCAATCCTTTCAAAAGGAGGTTATGCACTGGACTGAGCCAGCTCAGAGTATGCTCTTATAAAATATCTCAATCTTTCATTTCACCTGATATGAAATCATCCATAATATCTCATGCTAACAGGTTTAGTTAGAAAACTGTGCCAAGATACCGCACAGATAAATAGTACACAAAATATGAGAATGTATAGTTAATGATACATTTGTTGATATAAACATTGAGCCTGGCACATGCTGGGAAATACTCTGTAGTAGGGTTCAGATGTACTCATCTCAGCTTAAAAGGCCAAGATATAAACAAGACTTCTGCCACGGGGTCACAACTATGAAAGGACACCTCATGAAAAAAATGGTATGGTAGATGGAGACATGCCTATTCAACACTTGCAGCAAACTGTGTACATGGTTACACCACAGAGCTACAGGGTTATAGCCACCTTCTCCAGCTGCTTTCTTGAGTTTGATGTAATATATAAATAGGGCAAAAATATGTCTATGTGTCCAATCCTTTCCTTCAAATCTGGAGTAAGAGGCAAGTGGTTGCTTGCATCACAGTTTAGGGCTGTCAGAGAAAATGGAAGCGGAAGTTTTCTGATGTTCATTTATTCATTTCATGTCTAGGCCATAAATCAACCCAGTGAATACAACCGGTATTCACTGTTGCCTTCTTACTACAAACTACATTTAATTGATTACATGTCCCTACCCCAATTTGCATTGAATTTCATTTACATTGAAATGAATGGGCTGGAACAAGGTACTGTGACATAATTTACGTAAATTATGTAAGTTCCACAATAGCAAACGGTGAGAAGGACAACAGTTTTTGATGGAAGTTGAACTGCAGCAGAACAGGAGCGCTGCTGCATGGAATAAATATAGGTAAGAAGGGAAAACGATGTCTTCTTGCATATTTTTCTGGGTTACAAACTTTACTACATGTTGCACTTAGCTTTGCCCCTTCAGATCTCAGAAGGCTCACTCTCTGCCGGCAAGGAACATTGGAAAGGCTTGAAGCACTTGGTGGCAGCTAATATTCCCTGCTTTCTGCTCTCAACCACCGGGAAAAATTAGGAGAGGGAGAGAACCAATGGAAAAAGCCTAGACAGTAGTTCCTCCACCCCTGTAATTATGACTCAGCACAGAGAAAGGCACAAGATGAAGAAGTACTTAAGCCCCTTCACCTTAGGGGCTATAGGAAGGGACCCTTCATAGTTCTAAACAGCAAGAATGGGGTTCCTTTTCACATGGTAATTATAGCATATGGAATGGCTCTAGGATGTTAAGGCAAATGCATACCACGGGAGAAGAGTCTGGGCAGACAGACCTAAACTGTGTCGTTTTATCATACCTTCAAGGTCCTAACTTGCTGCATGTGTCAACAGTCCTTTTATGACCATCCATTATCTGTTTGTGGATCAGGCATTCTTTGGTGGGAGCTCTCAAAAATCTATATTAATGAGGCTTTTTAAAAAATGTATATTAATGAGGCTTTTTTAAAAATTTCACTTTCCCTCCCTTAGAAATGTTATCTTCCAGGGCAATGGGGCACACAGCATGCAGCCTACTTAAATGTATGTGTGATGGCAGCCCTCAGTTTGACTTTACAAAAAGCACTGGCTACACAACAGTCATTAACAGCAGCATTTTTCTGACATCAGGGATTCTTACATGCAGGGATGCCTTGATGGTGCAGTCAGCATTGCTAACCTGTTCCACTAGATGGCAGGTGACAGTTTGCAAATTGTTTCAGTACCAGTTGTAGAGTGAGCATAATGTCGACAAGCAGTAAAGGAAGCCTGCTCTTGGTAAACTGGATCAGTTTTAAAAATGTTGTGCTAACATGCTAAAATTAGCTGTAAATTACGCATGCCTTTGCAGGGCTGGCAAGATTGAAAACCTGTCACACTACAGTTCTGAATAAATATTCTGCCTTGGTTTTTGAATAAGATTTTGGCATTACTTAAAAAGACAAACTAGATTACTCAGTGGCTGATCGGAACCATGGCACTACTACGACAACAGTTATCTGTTTTGCTGTAAGAACTGTCAGGATTGAAAATAAATTTATTAAATCAAGCGGCTGTTCAAAATTAGTGGCAGCACTGAATACTTCAAATAGTTTTGATTGTGATGACTGGTTAAAGTACAGAGACACTGGAATTGTATAATACTATTTTGACACACTGCTGAACTGTTTTATTGAAGCAATGTTAAGTTTTAACTTTGTTTTCCCTTTAATTTTATTCTACTGTACTGGGTTCACCACCTGAGGTCCCTATGGGATGAAGGTTGATCTAAAAGTATAAATGAATGGGAGCATAGATTTGTAAATCTGGTGGGATAACTGCTGACCTCTGCCATTATTGAAATTGTATTTGGCAAGAAACAGCTTTAAGACAACCCCGACTGGCTGAAATCCAAGGCAGTTCTTTGTAGCCATCAGGGGCTAATAACCATTGATGGACTAAACCTCCATGCATTTGTCTAATTTTCTTTTACAGACATTTTAGTTAGGGCCCTTCAGCACATATTGGGCAGAAAAATACATTAATTTCATCTTTCCCCCTCTGTCTGTACTGAATCAAATGCTGTCAATTATATTGGATGACCCAAAGTTCTAGCATTTTGAACTGTCCCTCCACCCACTTTTCCTACACCAGCCAAGAAAGTACATTAGAACATAAGAAGAGCATGGCTGGATCAGGCCCACCTAGTCCAGCATCCTGTTCTCACAGTGGCCATCCAGATGCCTATAAGGAACCTGCAAGCGGGACCTGAGCACCACAGCACTCCCCCTTTTCTGCAGTCTCTAAAAAATGGTATTCAGAAGCATGCTGCCTTCAAGAACGGATGCAGAATGTAGCCATCAAGGTTAGCAGCCACTGATAGCCCTGCCCTCCATGAATTTGTGTACTCCTCTTTTAAAACCATCCAAGGCTATCACTGCCTCCTGAATTCCATAGTTTAACTATGTGCTTTCTTTTGTGTCTCTGTCATCTTTCAATATTCATCTTCGTAGGATGTCCCCATGTTCTAGTGAAGGCATAGGCAAACTCGGCCCTCCAGATGTTTTGGGACTACAACTCCCATCATCCCTAGCTAACAGGACCAGTGGTCAGGGATGATGGGACTTGTAGTCCCAAAAAAATCTGGAGTGCCGAGTTTGCCTATGCCTGTTCTAGTGCAATGAGAGAGGAAGGGGAACTTTTCTCTATCCGCCTTCTTCACACCATGAGAAAGATAGTAGAACATTTAGGAAAACAACAACAGCAGAGTATTTTGAATATCTCACCCAAAATTTTACGAGGAAGAAGGCATTCTGAGGTCCTTTTCCAAACAGCTCCTTCAAGCCGCCCTTCTTTTCAGGGAATTTGTCATAAATCTGGCGAATGTCTACCGATTCCAGCAACGGATCGCTGTAAGAATGGTTGGCATGCCCAATGTGCACAAAGAGGTGTTTGTTATACTGCGAAGTAAAGAAATAAAAAGTGTTATTACTGATGTCATAAGAACTTTGCATTTCAAATGCAAATAACATTTCTTTGCATTTGTCGGGGCTGTACGCTCTTTCTGTTTGCACAATACCTAGAGGAAAGATGTTCCATGTAACAAATAAACGTGCAATGCTAAAATCAGAAGAAAAACAGGAAAATAGGCGATTTGGTGTCCTGAAATGTAATGCGGTGCAAACAATCAGTCATGAAACTTAGTGTGAGGGAATCCGCCTATGCCTGTCCTAAATCTCGGGTTTTTGTGCAGAAAAATGAGGATTAAAAACAGAATGGATGAACTACAGGTGACCAGCGGAAGTGGCACAGGCTTTAGGAGCCACCTCTGGACTGAGACAGCAGAGTCTGACTTCTGCCTGGCTCACCAGCTTGGTAGGCTGGAGGCAAAGTCACAGCACAGCTGAAAGGCAGCACAGCAGGAAGAATCTTCACAAACTTGCTTTGAAGGTGATGAAGTCAAGTCTGATTTCTGTACAACAGCTGCTAAGAAAAACAGGAGGCAGACAACAGTTTGCAGTTTTTAATTGGATATAAAACTGAAATGCCTGGACACTGATTTGTGAAGTCTCTCTTCAAAAGCCTGCATTTATTTATACAGTGGTACCTCTGGTTACGTACTTAATTTTTTCCAGAGGTCCGTTCTTAACCTGAAACTGTTCTTAACCTGAAGCACCACTTTAGCTAATGGGGTCTCCTGCTGCCACCGTAGCACAATTTGTGTTCTCATCCTAAAGCAAAGTTCTTAACCCGAGGTAACATTTCTGGGTTAGCGGAGTCTGTAACCTGAAGCGTATGTAACCTGAAGCATATGTAACCTGAAGCATATGTAACCCGAGGTACCACTGTATTCTATCTTTCTTCCATGGCGCACAAGGCAACACACATGGAGGTTTGACCAGTTTAGTTTTCATTATATCATGTGCCCCCAGACTAGGTCATGGAACCCTCGCTACATAAGGAATTGTTCTATTGACTTGACAAGCTTTATTTGTCTTTAGGTGTATGACTATAGATGGATATCAAATATAGTTGACAGGACGGAAAGTCTGTAAATTATTAGATCAACCCTTTTCATGACAGTGGCATTGAGGTTCTAGGCTGCATCTCTGTTTTGCAGAGAATTCAAGGTGGGGCAGATGCTCTTGTATTTTGGACTTGTTGCTCATTTGTCAAAAATCATGGCCACTGGCGAGATAAATAATAAGTAGCTGATTAGGTCTTATTGTCCCTAATGAAGGGATCGTCAATGGTTGCACCTGTGGAGGCCTTCCCTAGTTGCTGAATTTAGGCATGAAAAAAGAAAAAAGAAATAAGAATTCTGTGCAACATCTGAATCCGAAGAGGGCTTGCAAGCCCACAACTGGTGGCCCAGGCTTGGTAGTGAACTGGATGAGAGCTGATAAACTGAATCCTGGATATCATGGCACTGTGGGTGGGTGATTCCAGAGTCTGGATAATTGGTCAACTGCCTGCTTTGGAAGGGTCAGATTCATAGTCTAGAGTGCTCCTGGATCCATCTGTTGCTAGAGGCCATGGGGACCTTAGTGGCCAGGAGTGCTTTTTACCAACCATGGTTGGCAAAACAGTTGTGGTGCTGCCCTGGAAGATGCAGCTAGTGCAGAATGCAGCTGCTCAACTGCTGACTGGGATGGAATACCACCATCATATTGCTGAAAGAACTTGCCTGGCTGCTGGCTAGCTATCAAACTAAGTTCAGTATGCTGGTATTGGTGTACAAAGAGCTATACAGCTTGTGCTCTGGATACCTAAAATATAGCCTCATCCCCTACATACACAACTGATCACTGACCCTGCCCCAGTAGTGGGCACACATGGGCACCTGCCCCGGGCGGCATGGATACACTCTTCACTGCTGATCCATTCTGCACAGTGTCTTTCATGTGGTGGCACCCACCCACTGAAACCTCCTCCAATTATATATTAGGCAACCACCTTCCCTACTGTCTTTTTGAAACCTGCTGAACGTGTTTCTCTTTCAGCAAACCAAATGGAGATCTTTACCCCAAATGACGACTGCATTGGCTCTGAATTGGTTTTATGTTTATGCTGCTGCTGTTTTTTAAATGGTTCTACACACACACACACACACACACACTGTTTAATACATTTTTAAAATTATATTCATACATTAAATGCACAGTAATAACTTGTGCTTGACTGTGGCTTGTGTGTGTTGTCTACAACAGTTTCTTTGGTTTGCAAACACACCCAAAGGTGACCCAATGTCTTGCTTGTGGACTTGCCATGGGCATCTGGTTGAGCACTGAAGGAACAGAATGCTGAACATGGTGGTCCTTTGGTCTGATCCAACAGGGCCCTTGTTACATCCTTAGGAATCTGTCTACCAGTTAACTACTTAAAATAAGCTCATATGATAAAAGGTAGAGTAAAACAGAGAAAACATATTAATCTGTACCTGTAGCCAGCATTGTCATACTTCAGTAGCTTCCCTTCCAAGTCAGGATTTAACACTATATCAGATCTAAATTCAATTCGTTCAATTATGAGCTAGTCCCACAGCTTTTCAATCAATTAGGAATATTTTTGTCCAAATTCCCCTTTCATAATAACCTGAATTATGTTACCTCCAAATACAAGTGGAAAACCTATCCAGTCTTTGCTTACAGACCAGAGGGGTAGCATCAGCCAAAAAGGGTGTTTCTTCTTTAAAGAGTAGAGTTCATAAACAAATGAATGGAGGGAGTGAATGCATGAATGAGCAAACACATGAATGAATGAATAAATGAATGAATGCTTATGAGTAAAAGCCTTTGAAAGGGCAGGCTTAACTTGCATACCGATCAGTTACACAAGAATTACAGTAATTATCGTCCTATTCTGTAACAATAAGTAATTACCATACAGCATCTGCACAATTGCTAGCTTTACCATCTTGCTTGAGATGCCAACTACAAAAGCAACAAGCTTGTTATCCTCTTTAAAACTCATGTCTAAAACTATGTATGTAAAAGTTTTTATGTATACACCAAACTGTACCTCTGTAACACCGCAATTTAAATTAGACTTTCAGGCTTCAAATCGCTCTCCTAAAGCCATCTATATTGAAATAGCCATAGGGATTACTGGACTTCTTCTCAACAATACCTTAGACCTCTGAAGTTAAGAATGTGGGAAATGGTAGAATGTTGCACCATCTAAGGACCTCAAGCCGGTCAGAAGTTGGAACAATCACCAATTAGGGATATATTGCCTGAATAATTCTTACAGCTTCCTTCTGAAAATCACCTTGATTTCTAGGAGCTTTACCTTTTGACTTGTCATTGCTGAATATTCTCAACAACATTTATGCAATGCTTTAGAGTGTATAAAGTATTTCACATGCATTATCACAGCAGAAGCTGCAACCTGCCAACAGTTCAGGGCTGCCACTGAGATTGAGGGGGTCCAGGGCTATGCAATGTCAGCGTGTTGTGATTGCAAGCTGATTCATTTGTGTGTGTGACACAAGCACATCCTATGGCGTGTATGCGCAGCCACCATGGAACTTGGGAGAGACCAGCCCTTTCATTGGAAATATTGGGGGGGGGTGCTATCCTCCCCATGGTACCTATGCAACAGTTTGGCTTCACCCCCAAAGGCGCACTCCTCCATTGTCTCCTGAAACAGACAGATGCTAACCAACCAACATTATCGCAGGAATCTTTCCTGCAATCCTGTGGAGTAGGTCTGTCTTATTTACTACATTTATATCTTACTTTCCTTCCATGAAACTTAAGACAGCATACATAGGATGAGCTTAGCTTCAAAGCAAGATTCCTGCATTCTGTATCTTCAGCCATAATGAATCCTATCCCTGTATTGTATATAGTTTGCTGAGAATGACAAGATACATACATGTGAGATATAAACCCAGTCCATCCTGGCTCATAGTGTATGCTCTTAGCAACCTCACCAACTCTGAATGTACTTCCCTTCTGCTTTATTTAGTAAGATTTTCTATGAAGGTCAATTCAGGGAGTGGGAGAAAAGTTCTCAAAAACTCATGTTTCATTTTTTGTGGGCACAGAATTCCTTATACACAGTGCAGACCTACACATGAGTACTGCAAGTCCTGCATATAGAGTTTAGTGGGGCAATGGAGAAAGAGACTGAAAGTCACAAAATGATTGTGTTGTTAAACTTCTAACTTAGAAACCTAAGAGACACATTGCAAAAGACAGTGTGCTTTTCAAATCCAAAGCAAAGTTAAAGGCAGCTGTGGAGCTACTGCAGTTGTTTGCTGATCTTGCCAAAAGTACCAGATGCTGCTGCAGCAACAGCAAAAATTCCAACATGTTTCAGAGGGACAGATGGTATGGCATCATCTCACAATATTCGAAGGACATAAATGTTTATTTTGACATTGCATGTGTGATTATTTTCTCCTTATGTTACTGTAATTCCTACACTAAACAGAATGATGACTAATCCCTTCAGTCACGGCATGTTTCTAATGAACGACAATGACAATGTAGTAGGCATTAAATGAATAGATTTTCTTTCCCAAAAAAAAGAACTCATGTTGGTTTAGAGACAACTGTACACCACTTATGAGATCACTCACACTTAAAAGAACGCAGTCTTAATCTCCTCCACACCCTGGAGAAGAGGAGCAGGGAGGCTCTGAATGGGCAAAGGAGCAGAAATAAGCAGGGAGCAGACTTCTCAACTTGCATGCTGATCAGTGACAGATGGCGAGTGAGGGTCAAAGCCCTTCACAAAAGGCTGTGTCATAAAGGGGCAACTGAGGGGAGAGGAAAAGCCAGTCCAGGCTACCCCTTTCCACCCTGTCCATCCCATTCTGACTGCTGAAGACCCCACTTCCTGGCCTCTCTTCCTCCTTTCGATGCAGTGAAGAGCTCAGGGTCATTTCTCTTACTTCCGACAGAGAACCTTCTGGCACATGGATGGCTGAATGCCACAGCCAGACAAGTGGAGGATCTCTTCAGTGTGGTGGGCTGAAACCTGGAGCATTGATGTACACTCGGCTGGGGCATGACTCCCTTCTTCCTCACTTTTCCAGGACTGCACTTGAAAGCTTCAGTAACAATACCTCTTACAACTCAGTTTTCAGTAGAAGCTCATAAAATACAACAAATACCTTTCATTTACATCATTATCCTTTCTGCCTGTTATATGCTAGGTTTGCAGAAGGTCATTTCTAAGGAGAAAATTGCCCACCCCAGTACTTAAGAGTTCAGGACTGAGATTCCTTTAACATTTTGATGTTATGGCCCTTGTACTTGTTTTTAAGAAAGAAGTTTAAGAAAGAACTTGAGAACATACATTCGTGGATTGCTTCACCTGTACTATCTAAAGTAACCTCTGTAGCTTTGAGATGGCTGCCTCTTACTGAACTCTCTCGTATTTGAAGAATGCAGCCTGTAAGGCCATGAAAAATGGCTCTTGTCAAATAATACCAGGAGAAAAAGAAATTATAATCCATTTAGGAATTCAAAGGAACCAAGACAAATTGCTGGTGTCAGGGGATGCTAACATACAAGCTGTGGCAAAACAAAGACAAATCACCTGCATTTGTTTTACTTGCTAACATACAATTAAGCATATCATAATAATGTGTTTTATTTAAAACTGCCATCCCCTTCAAAACTCAACAAGCAGGGTGGAAAACTTCAAACAGTGCGAGTGTTTCATTATATATACGTTGAAGGATCCTGATGTGCTTCAGTTTGAGCCCTCTTGTGCAGGGAAAGTCAATAAAAACAACAACAAGAACTACCCTGTCCACCACAACATATGCTAAGAAACCTTATGACAAAATGTAAGGTACAGTACGTTTGCTTTTCCAATTGTATTTCAACTGCATTTTATTGCTAGTCCAAATGCATTTCAGAGATTCTGTGTGCCTCTGAAAGGGCAAATGCAGCCACAGAGAGCAATTGGGATGGAGGCTGTGGTGCAGAGGGAGTTTTAACCCTTTCTTTCCATACTGTTAATCCAATTCCAGACAAACATACAAGCCCACTGGAATTGGGAGACTGAGAAAAAGCTGCAGGGAAGAGAGTTAAAAGCACCACTCTGATAAGGCCATGGCCCCAGTCCAGATGATTCCCTGCCTCCATTTTCCAAAAAGAAGAGTCTGGTGATCAGATTGCGGTTTTCCTGCCACCTTCTATCATTTGGTTTTAGGAGACAGTTGAAGGCCCAAACTAGCAGGACCATGTGCTGTATATTGTGACCTGTCCTTCTTGTAAGCCACAACAATGCCAGGGACTGGACGCCATGTCAGCACCGCTGCCCTCACTGATCATTACGGCTCTTAGGACTGCACATAACATTTTCCTCTTTAGAAAATGAAAATATGGAAACAAGGTCTTCTAATGACCTGCTGAAGCAGAACCAGCAGAGGGAGCTAAAACTGCAAACTTTATTCATGGTGCAATCTCGTACATGCTTACTCAGAAGTAGGTCGCACTGAGTTCCAAGGGACTTGTTCCCACATCAGTGTCCACATCAGATTGCTGCCTTTATTCCAAAGTAGTAGCTACTTTATCAAACGCATCTTAGCAACAATGGAAAATCCACACCAACCTTATGCTCCCTAATCTTAAAGCAGGTTAACATTAGCAAAAGGCAACCCCGCTTTGCTCTCTCTACATTTTTGGCTAATATGCCAGGCACATAATCCTGGAGAAAGTAATGGCTATAATCCTGTTGCTTTGATGAGGACCCATTAAGTTCACCGTCCCTGTTCCTTGTTCGTAACATTATCAGTATCCTCTACAGTGACTGGCAGAGCCGCTACAGGACATGAGGAATACCCAGCCCTATGTGGGAGATACTAGGAATTGAACCTGATAGCTTCAGCATACAAGGCAGATGCTCTGCCACTGAGCTGTGGCTGCGACCAGCAGTTCCCCCATATGGAACAACGATGTGAATGACCCATGCCTGCTCGTGTGAGGGGTAGGCAGCTTCTCCAGCTTCATGGATTATGTAAGCACACCGTTAGATTTGGCTGAATGACATCATCTCTGGAAATATACTTAGAATGGTAGAGTTGGAAGGGACCCCTAGGGTCATTTAGTCCAAACCCCACCCCCTGCAATACAGGAATCTCAACATGCAGCCCCCCACCCAATTTGAAACCATAACAGACCCTGTTTAGCTTTGCAAACATGCCAACAGTTTTATCGCTGCACCCCTAGGAGGAGGGTACCACTTGTTAAGTGTGTGGCTTGGTCATGGATGACCTACACCTCTAAACCAGGTGTGGTGAACCTTTGGCTTTCCAAATGCTACTGAAGTAAAGCTCCCTTCATCCCCATCCCTGGCAATGCTTGCTGGAGCTGATGGGAGTTGTAGTTCAGCAAGTGGAGAACCAGATGTTCGACATAGCTGCTCTAAACCCTCCAGCTGGCATGCAATCTCTTATAAATCTCTTTTCAATGACATGAAAAAGGAAACAAACACTGCTTGCTGTGGAAAAGGGGAATCTTTCTATCCTTGGCCTTGTATTTCAGCTGGTGAACAACGGAGAAACTTCTACTCTGCTTCACAAACCATTCCCACCCTATGTTTTCTTATGTGACTTTTTGGCCATATCACCGCAACTGCGGATGGCAAGAACTCAGTAAATTCCACGTTAAAGGGAATGCTGAGACCCAATTAGGATGTGATGATCAGGTAAAACCAAGTCACCCTCCTATTTCAGCCAATCAAATACATCTATACAGCTGGAGAGGCTTGAGCTTTCAGGTGTGAAATGCAAGACCTGAATCAAAAGCCTTTTCAGCACATAGACAATCAGTGTAAACATCTGTCTCCAAAAGGCTCTGTTTCAATAGTTGTATGTTGTCTTCTAAGGGGAAAGTCATGCCTACATTGAAAGCTAAACTTCATTCAACATGTTGAACAGCAGTATTGAAAAAGCAACCATATTGTGCATCTTAATTTCTGTACTGTTGTGCTATTTTCTGCTCACAGCCTTATTGCTATGAAGAGTACTCTGATGTTAGGTTGCCACAGTATGTCTCTGGTCATTATTGTAGGAAAACACTTTATTGATAATGCCTACTTGCAAGGATACATACATTCAATTGTTCCCAGAAAAGAGTTATAGAAAGCATAAGATGAGGCTCCACTCTACAGACTATTGTATTTTGCAAGGTATTTGAAGCAAAGAAAGGTTTCGTTTTCCAGGTTTTTCATAAAGGCATTCACTTTTCATAAAGAAATAAAATCTGCATAAAGCAGCAGGTTTAACATGCCCCCCCCCCGCAAAATGAAACCAAGATGACAATTGACACTGAAAATATTATCACGCTCAGCCTTCTAAGTTCACCAAATCTCTGTGCTATTATAGATGATGATAGATAGATATAGATAGCTGAAGTCTTCTCAATGCCTTAAAGCTGATTACAAGAACAAACATCATAAATTCATATGCTCTATTCCTCAAAAGCAGCTAGAGTATATTCTAGGACTTGTGAGGGGCACCATGAACCATCCCTGTTGATCACACAAACAGAACATGTGATTTAGAAGTTTCCATGGTACAGGGAGATGTTTGCATTGCATTAGTGAAAAGATGTGATACAAAACTGCAAGAGTAAAGAGGCACAACAACTGCTATAAAGGATATTTGCGTAATTCAGGGTAATACTTACAGAATCTGGATCTCTTTGTTGTTCAAGAAAAGCTGAAAATTCCACCAATCTGAGTTTAGTTGTTCCAATAGACCGACCTTGCCAAGCTGGAACTGACGGGGCTGGAGCCGATGCAGGTTCAAACCCTGAAGTATAAATGATCAGCAACGTCTTTGCTAGTTTTAGATTACGATTGCATTGTATTCTTTATTATTGTGGATGAAGAAAACTTGATGCCAGCCTATTTTAATATAACTGTTAAAATTCAACTACTTTTAAGCTCATTCTCAATTGCTTGGAAATATGGTTATTTTACATTCATAACATTTGTGTTTTACTTGTTGTTAAAATTATATTGCTGTTTCCTCCCTCAAGTATTACATTCTTCTTTGTAAACGAAAGAAAAGCCTATCCAATATATTGTATTTGATGTATCAGGACTGTGCAATTCCTTCTATAATACCGTATTTACTCGAATCTAATGCTCACCTTTTTTGGCCAAATTACATTGCAAAAATTAAGGTGGGCGTTAGATTCGATGGCACATTTACATTCGCCAGCAAATACTTTTTTTTGTTTCGTTTCAAGGATCTGAAAATTGAGGTGTGCGTTAAGTTTGATGGTGCATTAGACTCAAGTAAATACGGTAATTAGACAACACTTTACAAGAAAACATTAAAATAATCACAGAAACCTCAGTAAAATAAGTATAAATGAAGTAGTCCAAGACTGATGCAACTCTGAAAGATATGCCATTCATTACTGGGAATGTTTGTATACATAAGAGCCAAGGAGACCAATCTTCATGAAGTCAATTATCATTTTAAGATAAAGTCAATTGAATGATTTTATATTCCTTTAGTTTATTGCATATGAGGCCAAAGGGTATGGTTTTAGATTTAGAAAGGACAAAGAAATGTGCCATTTCTTCACAGATGTTCCTACAGTGAGGAATTCTGGAATAGGTAATGCCACTATGGCTCTAAAAGTAGATGTGGATTAGATGATTCAAATGCATATTCCATCATCTCTGCATAGATAAATATTGCATACACAAACTCACAAATACATTCATCCGAGGTAGATGACCAATGAGACTACCGAACTCCCTTGTGTAGATGTAATTAAAGGCTGCAACCTCTGCCAGGCACTAAATATGGAGTGGGTCCAAAAAAATCTAAACAAACGGATAAATCTGTAATTGTTACCTGAAATGGGAGTTGCGACAGTTGGCTGTATAGGGTAGGCTTGCTGGACAAATGGCTTTATGCTGAAATAAACCATTGGACAATGAAGTCAGATATTAACTGAAGTATTTAATAACAGTAACAAGAAAGCACATTTTGTTTCTAGTAAAGACAACAGTGTAAACCTCCTTTTAGAGCAGTATTTCTTAGTCTGAATTAATGGTCTAAAGCAGGCTTCCTCAACCTCGGCACTCCAGATGTTTTTGGCCTACAACTCCCTTGATCCCTAGCTAGCAGGACCAGTGGTCAGGGATGATGGGAATTGTAGTCTCAAAACATCTGGAGGGCTGAGGTTGAGGAAGCCTCGTCTAAAGCCAGTCCATCCTGGGACGAGTGTAGCATAGCGATTAAAGAGCTGCAGTCCTGAGGAACCAACACAGATTTAAAATAGAGGAATCCTCTCTCCTTGCTCAGCAACTTCAGATTGGCACCTCAATGTGTATGGGCCAGTGGCCCACTTTAGGGCCACCAAATCCATTCCCCACCCTGCCCCCTTTTTTGCTCCATAGCTGCTTGCCACTAATATTTTGGTTCATTGGTCAAATCACGAAATACACAAAGCTGGGCTGGAGAAGTGTGGAAGCCCTTCTTAGCGACTGGCCTTCAGGATATTTGTGACATGACTCTCTGCCATCACCTCCACAAAGAGTGTGATTGGAAGTGGACCTCAGGACTGTGCGCATCTATTTGTTTGTTTAAAGTTTATTAGCCGCTGTTCAGCCAAAGCGCTTGAAGTTGCCAAGAAGAGGCATGTAAATGTACAATGGGAGTACCATATTGGTCTGAATATAAGCCACACTTTTTCTCCAAATTCTGACAGCGAAAAGTTAAAGTGCAGTTCATATTTGTGACTTTGCCTTTTCCCCAACAGCTCTGGGGAGGCTTGGGAGCAGCAGGTGGGCTGAGCGCCATTGCGCCACGCTGCCGAGCTGCTCTTGGGGAGGCCGTTGGCAAAGTGGCATGGCTCCCCCCCCCCGGGAGTAACCTGGGAGTGCGGGGCAGCGGTGTGCAGCCCGCTCGCCACTCCCAAGCCTCCCTCGAGCTGCCAGAAAGAAGGGGGGAAGGCTGGCGGCAGAGCAGTCCGGCTCCCCCCCCCCCGGAAGCAGCCCGGGATTGTCTTTTTTCCTCTCCCCTCCTTCAATTTTAAAAGTGAGGCTTATTTGCGGGTGAGTCTTATATTCGGGCCAATACGGTAATTCATTGTTCTACTGAGGAAGCATTCAGTCAGGGGAAGCATTTCGGCTTGCCAGATGAAACAATCCCCCCACTCCTCACCCCACACACTGTTTCTTACACAGGGGGGTTTCTTACACACTCTCTCTCTCACACACACACCTTTTTTCCCTGGGGGACGGAGGAAAGAAAGCCCTGTTGTGCAAGTGGAAGTCCTTATACAGGGCTTATGCTGATGGGACTCCTTAGTCGATTCCCGTTCACAATAGGCACAAATTAGTGCCTGAGCTGAGGGACAGGTCAGCCTTTGCCAACCTGGTGCCCCTCAGATGTTTAGGACTACAACTCCAGTCAGTGCAGATGTATAGCACAGTTGTGCTGGCCGGGGGTGATGGGATCTGTAGACCAAAACATTTGGAGGCCCATAGGATACCAAATACTGCCCCAGGCTGTGTAAACACCACACATTAAAAGAACCACCAAAGGAACTGTACATTACCCCTCACAGAATTACAGCTCCCAGTTTTGGAGGAGGCAGCAGGTGGGGGAGGTTGCTTTGAATGCAGTTTGTACGAAGCCTTGGTTATTTGAATCAAGGAACTTCTTTGACTCTGGGGGTAATAAACTTGATCCAAGATCAAGGAAGATCCAACTATCAATGAGCCATGGGGTTTCCCAGGACCAAACCAGACGTAGTATTAAATGGATGCAAGCATTTACCATACCTGACTTTTGTTCTTTAGTTAGCAGCCAGGGTGGGGAGAGGGGGCAGAAAAGTATCTGGACCATGATATGTGAGGGATTAACCTAGCCCCACTCCCCAGGGTTGTGGTCCAAATAGAAACACACCCCTTCCTGAAATCCTAAAATCTGCTCCTAATCTCATTGGATGTAGTGGTGAGGCTGGAACTAATTTCTGTACAGCAGTGTGGTGTAGTGGTTAAGAGTGGTAGTCTCGTAATCTGGGGAACCCGGTTCGTGTCTCCGCTCCTCCACATGCAGCTGCTGGGTGACCTTGGGCCAGTCACACTTCTTTAAAGTCTCTCAGCCCCACTCACCTCACAGAGTGTTTGTTGTGGGGGAGGAAGGAAAAGGAGAATGTTAGCCTCTTTGAGACTCCTTAAAGGGAGTGAAAGGTGAGATATCAAATCCAAACTCTTCTTCTTGAGTATCCCACCATTGACCCTAATTGAAACAGCCTTTCTTTTAATCCTCATTAACAGGCACTGTGGTGACTGGGTAAATGTGCTGGAAAACTAGTATTAAGTATAGAAAGCATTCTGGTCACACAAATGCTTCATCTATTTCCCATGCCACCACTGCCACACTCATTACGTTCTTTAGTTATAGCCTCTGGGATTGAATTCCTCTGGCTAGGTACACATCCTTTTTGGATATACACATGCATTCAAATGAACACATACCTACCAATGTGTACTGCAACATATACATACAAACAAGTGAAAACAGTGGCGCTCAGTCTCAGTTTTCCATCACTTACTCTTGTGAAGATCCAGGCTGTCCTGTTTGTATCATCCCTGGCCAAAACTGCATGGGAGTAAAAAAAAAATAAAAAATTAAATATTTTTATTTTGACGCACACAACTTTTTTCAATTGCTCTCTTTCAGGGCACATTTCCTATATATATTTTCCACTAAAGAATTTTATAAGGGAAGGGGGAAGTACATTTTATAGAGAAATTAATTGATCCATCCTTCATTTCCTACCAATCATTGTTCTGCAATGTACTTTTTTATTGCAGCCAATTAACTTACTCCAGGTGCTCCAGGAAACGTCGGACGGGGAATTCCTGGCAGGCCCAACTTATTGTGAATCGCTGTTGCAGATACTATTTGAGCTGATGACATAGCGGCCATGTGCTGGAGTGCTTTGTCCTTTGCAGTCTGATCCTTCAACATGACAATTACAGGCATTCATTAATAGAATGGACACAACAAATCACACCAAGCAAGCACAGCTAGGAAGCACATATGCTAAAATTAATTTATTTTTTTTAAGGCACAGGAAATGTGAAAAATAAAAGCATACCATGCAGTGGCGGAAACGTAGCACAAGGGGTAAAATACATTTGGATTTCCTCAGGGTAGCATGACTCGGTTTAAGTATGAATACAATTCCCTACTGTAAATCGGTAGGAAGTCAGCTAGAATTTAACCCAGGACTGAACTTTATTCCCCCCCCTCCCCACAAGCCAGAACAGAGTCTGAACCATCATTTGAAAGTCTTTGTTGAGCCCAAACAGGAACACAACAGCAGCAACAAAATCAGATGACTAGTTCACAATAGAGATTTGCCTAAATACGCAACAGCCCTGATAGGGGTAATGACAGGCAGCTGAGGCTACTGTCTTGCTAAAGCTAAGGAGGTTTGGCTCTGGTCGCTGCCTGCAGGTGAGACTACCTGGGAATTGCATGTAAGCAGCCTTGGGCCCCATGACAGAAGAAAGGTGAGTTATTAATGTAGGAAACGAATGATGTCACTGATTGCAACCAGATGGGAACCTGAGACCCTGAGGATTTTTAGGTATTTCTGGAATCCACCTGGCTTCTCTTTAACAGCCCTCTCTTCAAGAGCTGGGGAGAAGGAAGCCTGTTGCTTTAAAGGCCACACTTCACTCTAAGAGGCTGGAAGAAGAATAGGAAGGCAGGGCAAGGCAAGGCATGCACTGCAGAATATTTCACACATGCTGTAGTGCTAAACTACTGCTGGTGCCTATTAAAGTGGTGGAAAACTGAGCCAGAGGATTTAATCCAGCCAAAGTTAAATACTTTTAAAGCCTATTGCTTTCAGCAGCAGAGATTTAAACCTGTACTTAAGGCTTCTGTTGAAACCAAGCTTTCCTTAGGTCTGACTGTACCCTTAAGGGCTCCACACCCACACCCAGTAAAGTAGGAACCCCAGAAATACTTGGGAAATACTTGTTTCCATATATGTTACTACATATACTATTTATGATACTAAATGCTAAATAGGTTTATTTTATAACAACCCTTAATCTATAAATGATACTGTTCAAAAATCAGTGGTGGACTTGCTCTAATGCAGAGTTTCTCCAACTTTCTTGATTACAACCCCCATCATCCCTAGCTAGCAGGACCAGTGGTCAGGGATGATGGGAACTGTAGTGCAAAAAGAGCTTGAGATGCAAGTTTGGGAAACCTTGGTCTAAAGGTAACCCTGGTTATCCCCAATCCCAATTATCAGCCATGCCAGGGTCAAGCTAGAACCATGGGCAGGTGCACCATGGTTTAGATGTGTGATCTGCAGGATCCCTGAAGTAGGTGGCTGGAGCTGGGAGGTACTGGAGTCTCTTGAGCAAGCAAGGGCAGCTTGCTAAGCTCCTGGTGCTTATGCCGAGTAAAAAACTGAAGAGGGCTCTGAGGCTTGAAAGTATACAGTCCATAGAAGCTCAGGTCCCAGCCTGAAACAAGCAAGTTCAGATCCCAGCCCTGAAGTAAATGACCTTTGGGAGTAGACCAGGCTTTATATTTCTTTCTCATCCTATCCCAAAGGCTCATGCTAAGGAAGCTAGACACAACCCAAACACAATGAAGCCCTTGTAGGAAGGTACTCAAATCCTACACAGGCCTTCCATAGTACGTCTAGTCTTAGATTTGAATACTTGGCTGCACAACTGCACAGGGCCTACATGTCACTTGTGGCTGCTTGTGAATAACAGAACCAAGCGAGTGAAGTCAACTGCGCAAGGAAGATGCATTTCCCTGGCCTCACTCATATAACTTACAACATTTACACACTGAGCTCCCTCACCTCCACCATCACCATATGGGACCACAGTGCAGGGAGGTGGCTCCTGTGGGCGGCTCTCTGTGAAGCAGCCTGTAAGCCCTGGATTTGGGGTCCCATTGGGTAAGAAGATACTGGCTAGGCATGGGAAACTGTACCATGGACCTCCAGGTCTTTCTAGGGAACTATTCCCTTGTTACGAATAAATCTGGCTTCAGCAGAATTCTGTAGCAGCCTTATTTACACATTCCACGCCACAAGTTCCTCTTGCTTTGAAGGAGAAAATGTTTTGGGCAAAAGCTGAACTTTGGGTATAAGACTGAACGATAAAGGAACACAAGCGCTAAGAGGCAGATTCATTGTTACAAGCAAAATCGCAAGCATGCTAGCCAGGAAAGCATGCCATCCAATATGGTATACGAATCCGCACACATAATTCCCCCCAAAGCCCGTAATGAGAAGTTGAGCAGCTTCTTCATTTCAACAGCTCCTTTAGAAACAGCAGAGGCTAACAGTACAGTTAAAGCTAGCTAAAAGAAAAAAAAGAAAGAAAAGGGGGGGGGAGCCTGCCAAGCACAGCTGAAGTATGTAATACTTGCTTTACTGGAAAAAAAATACTTACCATGCTTGTTACCTGGATGCAACAACAAAAAGTTTGTTAAAATGCTTCTGTACAAGTGTAGTTTCTTAGCAAAATATGCTCTAGCACAATTAAAATTGGAAGGTGTTCCTAGTCATTTCGTACACAGAGATTAACAGTTATTATTAATTTTCACCAAGGAACTGATTCATCAAAAGAAGAAAAGGACTAATTGTATTAATGCCTACCACGCTGATAAAATTAAACGACCAGCTTGGCAGCTGCTAGGTCCCCATTTAAAATGCTGTGGAAACTGCCGTAATAAAACTATTACAGGTTGCCTATTTTATGCTGGTTTGCTGGGGGTACGGGCGGCAGGGGGAGCAGCTGCTCTCAGAGGTATCTCCCCCTGCCCCCCCAAAAAAAATCCTGAGCAGAATTCAAGCGGAAACCTGATCAGGTGTTAATGCTTCGAGAAGCGACATTAACACCTGTGGACCCATCTGTAGCCTGCTCTTCCAGAGTCACAGGGGAACTGGCTGAGAGCAATATGGCTGCTGAAGAAACCCGGCTTTTAGCAGCAGCGGGGATGCCGTAAAGTGAGAAATCAACTTATTCAAACAATTATGCCAACTGCTTGACCTATTTTTCGACTCCTGAGGTTTTTGGGTCTTGCATTATTATTCCAAATAGTTAGCAAGGAACTCTTCAGAGTGAAAAACGAAACGAAACTGCCTCTTTCGAGCAGATTTATAATGATAAAAGAGGGGCTCTGTTTTGTTTTCTTCTATCACAGGCAACACTCGGTGACTGTACATCTGTTGGTGTCATGGCTGGGCCAGCGGCACTCATGCCAGGAATGAAGCTTGGAGCTTCCACTCTGTAACCAGGCAGGGCAAGAGAGGGCCAAGCTCCTGACCAGAACAGAAGCTTCAGGCTGCCTGCCAATTGGAGGAACAACGTCACATGTCCATATTCCTTTTTCGTTCCCAAAGAGAGCTTTTGCTGCACAAGCATGTACAGACCCCGAGGGGCTATATAATTCATTTGTGGATCAATGAAACTGAGGTCAAGTGAAGGATTATATTATTCGAGAAATTTATAACAGCTGTTTATCATTTCTTTTAATTACATGCCATTGTATTTGCAATCCATTTGGTCAAAAATTAGCAAATAGATATGTGCATATACATTTTATATGTATCTGTGTATGTTGGGTGTGAGTAGGGCAGAACAGCTAACATAACTGCAGAATGTACATAAAAAAGTGTGTCCTTTTGGAAAGAAATTTTCTATTCAGTAGAATGAAAAATCGGGATGGGAGAATTTCTTACTTGTTTGGAGTCTTAAATCATTTCTTGTCTGAAGGAACCCCAGGCAAGGTGTGGTTTGTTTGTTCCAGAATAACTAATGACCCACTATTATCTGGATTAAATGGCTAATTTGTAAAATAAAATATGATGTATAAAAAAGGCATATTCCAGCATATTACAGGGCATGGATAGGACTAAGTAGCATTCAGGGTCTCTTTAAATCCTCTGATTTTATTATCAACCCTACATAATGAAAAGGAAGCTTTACCTTCCTCACTCATATGCAGCTATTTCTGAGGTAACTCATAACAACTGATTAATCACACATTAAAATGCTACATGACAGTCTGAGCAGCTAGTGAAGAAGACTACATCCAATTAAAACTGGATGGGGAATTTAGGCAGGCAGATTAGTAGTAATTACTGGAACTGGAATTTGGCCAAGATACATGACTTAACACCCGTATTCTCCACCTCTGAGTGCACTGGGATCTTTAATGAACACAAGCGATCAAGACCTTGACTTCCTAAGAAAACGGGTGTGTGTTTCCACTGTCAGTTATGCTGCAGTAAATACAAAATGGCTTAATTGTAGTCATGCAGAATTATGCAGTCACTAGGCAAATGTGGAGCAGAATTTGTTTAGATTAGTTTGCCTTCAAGTGCCATGATTGGCTTCTGGTGCTAGTAATGCTAACATCATTTTCCTGTCGTTTACGGTAAAGTGTTCCTTGGCTGACTCTCATCTAGTATTGATCTTTGAAACCTTGGAACAGGCAAGCATTCCCCCAAGGTGACCCTGAAACAGTCCTAGAATGTCTCTTGCAATACGTTATTTTCCAAAAAAGGGGGCGGGGCTTAATTTGCTTCCGTATTTTGTCATTTTTGATCCATAAATTTCTGATCTGAATAGCAATAGCTAAATTCTTGACTAAACTGAGAGGTAGTTTTCATATTTAGACATACAGGGACCATTGCAATACTGTTCCCCAAGAAAAATGATCGCCACCCAAGTAATTATCTACATAGCCTTGTTCCCTAAAAAAAGTCACCCCCTCCTACTTCTGGGAGAGAATTTGGAGGGTATCACATGTGAGGCATGGACTCCCAATAAAATATGTGGCTAGAGAAAGTGGTTTGTGGGCGATGTTCTCACATAAATGGCCAGAAGATATGGGATGCATGCCTAGGCTGGGAGAAGTTGGTTAAAAAGAAAGAAAGCGGGCACACTCGTACCTTGGTTCTTGAACGGAACACGTTCCAGGAGTCTGTTTGACTCCCGGAACCGTTCGAAAACCAAGGCTACAGCCAATCGGAAGACGCGGAAGACGTTCAGCTTTTGAAAATCATTCGAAAAAGCGGAACACTGACTTCTGGGTTTCAGTCGTTTGGGAGCCGATTTGTTAGGAGCCAAGGTGTTTGAGATCCAAGGTACGACTGTAAACCCAATGGCATTGCCTTTCTGTCCAAGCTGTTGCCCCTGGTTTGGCTCCACCTGTAAACGTGTGGAGGAGAGAGAGGATCCCAAGAGCTCACTTCACTTCACTTCACTTCACTTCACTCCACTCCACTCCACTCCCTGTGCTCTCCAGATTTGTGATGTGTGGTTTCTATGTGCACAAAGTGGTACACACAGAAATTTTTCTGGAAGCCTAATCACGCAGGGTTCCTGATGATCGGAAAGGGTCTACAAACAGAGAAACCCCATTGCTACCATTTGCCCGATGCACAAAGGTCAGGCGGTGGGGGTCTTCTACCACTATCCTGCCCTCTTTCCCACGTGTTTCCTCTACATGTGAAGCCAAACGTAAGAAAGAGTATGTGAAGAAAGATTTATTTGAAAATGAATGCTTCTGTGTGGCCAACTGCATGAAAAATAGAGTGGTAATGAGCATTGCAGATGGGAGTAGGCAGAACAGCAGGAACAATTGTATGCATGTGGACAGAAAGAAAGGAGGATGCTGGGCAAGTAGGAGCTATAAAGCAGGTTCTTGGAAGAGAGGGGTGATCTTTGGTTCAGAGAGAGGGTTTCCTGCACATTGAGATGTACCAGTTGTGACCAGTTAATAAGCAGTGACTAAACCAGGCATAGGCAAACTCCGGCCCTCCAGACGTTTGGGACTACAATTCCCCTCCTCCCTAGCTAACAGGACCAGTGGTCAGGGATGATGGGAATTGTAGTCCCAAACATTTGGAGGGCCGGAGTTTGCCTATGCCTGGACTAAACACAACAGCCCACTGTATGTCTCCAGTATCTTATATTCAGAGTTCTATTTTTCTGTTTCTCTGTAACAGAAAGTGTCATTTAGTGATTATGGTGGATAGCCACAGATAAGACTTGCACTCCACAAATTTATCTCATTCCCTTATAAATGCACTTTGTGAGTAATTGCTCTGTCTGCCACACTAACAATAATTTTCATTGGGTGATCCCAAATTCTAAGGTTGTGAAGGAGCGTAAGTAAAATGCCTCTCGATCCATCTCTTCTCCTCATTATGGAATTTTATAAAAACTTCCTTATGGGTCCCCCTTTCATCTTTTTTTTTATTCTGAACTACAAAATACAATGCACCCTGAGCAAAAGCTAAAGGGAAGGCAATCCATCTTAAAGAATAATAATGTACATAATAAAAGGGGAGGGGAGATGGGGGGCATGTGTGTAAAACACAAAAAGAGCTTTGGGGCCAAGGAAAACAGGAATCAAAGTGCTTGTGCAGAGCACAAGGTGCTGATGGTCATCCTATGCATTCCACAAAACTCTTGAGGCGGCATCTGTTATGAAGCTGAGTGTAACATGTTCATGATTAACAATTTTATTGTTTTCTACTTTGATTAATACTTGTTTTCATGTTGCAAGCCATTAGAAAACATTAACAGATATGGGCTATATTAAAATTAAATGTAAACCAACATTTACATTTGTTCCCTCCCAACACTACCATTCTATTATATCTTTTAATGAATCAGAGCCCTGTGTTTCCTTGAGTGCCAATTGGTTTTAAAGCAAATGCCCTAAAAGATTAACATGCTGACTGTGTTACATCCACCATAGTTTAGTTTGCTGTATACAAACTTCTGCAAGCCTCTGACTAGCACCCTTCCTCCCTTCTCATTTTCTGGTTCAGAAGGGTTTGGAAACTGCTGCTTCCATTTTTGCTTAAGCATAGTTTGTTGTATCATCTAAACTGACAAATGTGCTTAATGTTAATTACAGCTTTAAAAAACTAAACTAAACTACAGACAAGCATGATGTCCAAATGTGGTCATTCCATTTTTTTAAAACCTGTGATAAAACAGGTTGGAATGGATTTTTTAAAGGCAAGAAATCAGCAACTTATGTTCATTATCTGTTCTAAAACTAATGTACACTTCGAAATAATTCATTGAGCCTAAGCAACCTACTCAAAATGATTTCGTATCCCGGGGAAATGAAAGAGATATGCAATATAACTTTTCAAAATATATTCTTGGTATAATTAAAAGAAGGGATAATGTGCATTTTAAAAAATCAACAGCATAAATTATGTGGTATTACATATTTTCATTAAAACCCACATAGACATCTAACAAAACATTACTTTAAAAATGTTCAGGCAAAGAAGCTGCAATTTGCTCTTAAAATGAATTTTACAGTAAAGCATGAAATACTAGCATAAAACAGTTTTCTAATAAGTAATTTTACAAATCTTAGTTCTGCATTTAGACTGTATTGATTAGAATAACCTCTGAAATTATTTGCT